AGATTGTTTTTTTAGGGTATGTTGTTTCAGCTGATGGAATCGCAGTAGATGAAGAAAAGGTTAAGGCTATTAAAAAATGGCAAACACCTAAAAATATTTCTGAGATGCGGAGTTTTCATGGTTTGGCAAGTTTCTACCGGAGATTCATCAAGGATTTCAGCACAATTGCAGCACCGTTGACTGAAATTGTGAAAAAAAGTGTTGGATTTAAGTGGGAAAGTGAACAGGAGAATGCTTTCAATTTAATTAAGGAAAATTTAATTTCTGCACTGTTACTTGCTTTACCTGATTTTACTAAAACTTTTGAAATTGAATGTGATGCATCAGGTATTGGCATTGGTGCTGTTTTGATGTAAGAGCGGCGACCTATTGCATTTTTCAGTGAAAAATTGACTGGTGCAGCACTTAACGATCCTACTTATGACAAGGAGATGTATGCATTGGTAAGAGCTTTAGAGACATGGCAGCATTATCTTTGGCCTAAGGAGTTCGTGATACATACTGATCATGAGTCATTGAAGCACCTGAAGGGACAAGGTAAGTTGAATAGACGACATGCTAAGTGGGTGGAATTCCTTGAGACGTTTCCCCATGTGATCAAGTATAAGCAAGGAAAGGAAAACATTGTGGCTGATGCATTATCTCGTAGGTACACACTTATCTCTACCCTAAGTGCAAAGTTATTAGGTTTTGAGCACATTAAAGAATTATATGCTAATGATCCAGATTTTGCTAATGTGTTTAATGCATGTGAGAAGATTGCTTTTGATAAGTTTTATAGGCATGAAGGGTACTTGTTTAGAGAAAATCGATTATGCGTGCCTAACTGTCCCTTAAGAGAATTGTTAGTAAGGGAATCTCATGCGGGGGAGGCTTAATGGGACATTTTGGAGTTAGAAAAACGTTAGATATTCTGAATGATCACTTCTTTTGGCCACACATGAAATGTGATGTTGAAAGGATCTGTGAAAGGTGCATAACATGTAAACAAGCAAAATCTAGAGTTTTACCACATGGTTTGTATACTCCTTTACCCATACCTACTGAACCTTGGGTTGATGTGTCTATGGATTTTGTTTTGGGCTTACCAAGGTCAAAAAGAGGCCGCGATTCTATTTTTGTTGTTGTTGACAGGTTCTCAAAGATGGCACACTTCATTCTGTGTCATAAACTAACGATGCAACCAATATTGCGAATATATTCTTCAAGGACGTTGTTCGTTTACATGGCATTCCAAGGACTATTGTTTCTGATCGCGATGTCAAGTTCTTAAGTTACTTTTGGAAGACATTGTGGGGAAAGCTAGGAACTAAGCTACTGTTTTCGACTACTTGTCATCCACAAACTGATGAACAAACGGAAGTGGTTAATAGGACATTGTCAACCTTATTGCGTTCTATTATTCAGAAGAACTTGAAGAACTGAGAAGAGTGTTTGCCGCACGTTGAATTTGCTTATAATCAGAGCATCCATTCGGCAACTAACTGTTCACCATTTGAAGTTGTGTATGGTTTTAATCCACTCACTCCTTTAGATTTATTGCCTTTACCTATTGACAAACAAGCTAGTTTGGATGGGAAAAAGAAAACTGAAGCGGTTAAGCAACTGCATGAGAGGGTGCGACAAAACACAGAGCGAAGAACTGAGCAATATGCAAAACAAGCCAACAAAGGACGCAAGAAAGTTGTATTTGAACCTGGCGATTTGGGGTTGGGTGCATATGCGCAATGAGCGATTCCCTGCACAAAGGCGTTCTAAGCTGCAACCAAGAGGTGATGGACCATTTCAAGTGATTGCAAGGATTAATGACAACGCATATAAGTTGGAGCTTCCTGGTGAGTATAATGTTAGTGCTACTTTTAATGTTTCTGATCTTTCTCCTTTTGATGTAGGTGACAATTTGAGGACAAATCCTTTTGAGGAGAGAGGGAATGATGGGAATCAAGACGACAGCATATCTACCACGTCATGTGATCCATTACACACCCAAGGAGGTCCAGTC